ACCACTGATCTACTATAGAATAAAGAATATTCTCTTTTGTAATTTTTCTACATATAAGGTCCATTTTCTAATTGTATACGTCTCATTTGACATGGTTCTTGCTCAGGGGGAGAGTGAACTGTTATCTACAAAAGGATGAGAAGAATCCAGTCCCTCAAATCATAAATACAGCCTTAGACCAAAATGTCCTATTGTTTTTTTTTTTTTGTCAGTGGATAAATCAACCACTGAGATTCAGCATAAATGTTACAAAACTACCTCAAAATGCCTTCCTCCTACTACTGAAGCAAACATGTGAAACATAAGGAGAGAGAGAGAGAGAGAGAGAGAGAACTACATTATAATATAGATATATAAATATATAGGTATACGAGTATTAGATATGTACAGACATACGTATATATATATGTGCTGCCCCATACTTCCAAATATATATAACCAAATAAATGACTTTACAGTACATGCACTCCCTCAACAAGATTCAATATGATTAGGAAATGAGGTAGGAAGATGGCTTACTTATGGCTGGCTGGACAGACTCAGCAGGATGTTTTGTTGTCGCGACGTTGGACTGCGGTTGCTGGTGGGACTTGTGGCTCTCTCCTTTGCTTCCGCCTTGGAGTGGTGGTTGTTGAGGTGGCGGTGGGTGTTGTTGCTGTTGTTGCAGTGGTTGCTGAGGTGGTTGTGGAAGTTGTTGCGATTGTTGTTGTTGTTGCTGTTGTTGTTGATCATGTTGCTGCTTTTGTTGTTGCTGAGACTGCTTCTGTCATGGCAACCATTATGATAAATCCCCATTCTCAAATTGCTGCAGTTGTGCTGAGTTTTTGTTACGCATGACATGAGACTACATCTGTGCCAAAAACACAAAACCTGATAAGTCTGGGATTCTCTAATATTCATTTTAACATCAGGTTCTGGGTTTAAGGCTAAATGTTAAAATGGCATTAATTACTTCCTTAGGCAATGTTGTAAACAAAGACCCTAGTACAACTTAGGCTACATTAAAATACTTGTTATTATATAGTGCCATCTGTGAACAAATCAAACACTATTCTTTTAAAATAAGATATATTCTTTCTTGTTAGAAATTTGCATATAAAATCACCTGACAACATCACCCAATACCAGAAATAACAATAATGAACTACATAACTGGCCAGTGTCAAGTGGAACAAGAATGTGATGGAAGAGAATATCTTTTCCTCTGAAAATCTTTCATATTATGAAAGAATAAACCCTATCAGGACTCTCTATTGCTGACAATGTAAGAACAGCAACTTTTTACAGTTGGATAAATGTTCCTCAGGCAAAGAACATTACTCTTCTGTCATATTCCAAAGCATAAGTTTTCATAATCCTATGATCTCAGAAATTTATCTGCGTATGACAACTTTCTATTAAAGCTATTTCTGAAAACCTTCATCATAAATAAATGAAAACCCCTATAGCTAACACAATAACACCAAGTTTTCCTTTCAGAGGTTAAGTCTATTAATAATTTTCCTTAAAATGATTTGCCTTCAATTATTCTACATGTAATTATACAACAGGGTTAGAAATCAAATGCTATGTGATTAATCTGATTGAGTATTCAATATCACTGCAGGTGGTACCATATGCCATGAAGTTTACCAGGGAAATTTAGTACTTGCTGGTAATTTCAACCTGTTTCATCTGATAAACATTGTGCAGAAGTGTCTGACAGTTAGTCTTGTGCAATATTAAATGATTTAAAGCACGTCTCTAAACTTATTTATTGTAGCAGCAAAAATCCATAATCACCTCATGTCTTTATAGGCAAAGTCTTAATTCTATTATGTAATTTCAACAGAAACAAGTCAATTATATGCTTTCCATGCCAAAATGTTTCATTACTAGCAGAAAACTAATCTAACAGGTAAATGTTATCAATATATATGCAACTTTAAAGAGAAATCATTACTAATATCCAACTAATCCCTTTCCATCATTGTCATAATTTTACAATTGAAATTCCTCTCCAGAACACTCCTGTGGATTATGGATACTTAATGACTGGAAATGATCTGCTATAGGAACAGATGATTATTACTAATTACAAAAGCTCTGGAGTATAATCTTGGCTCTTTCAAGAAAAAAAGAGCAAAAAGAAAAAAAAAAAAAAAAAAAAAAAAAAAAAAAAAAAAAGGGATTTTCATTTTCATGCTCATTTAGTTTATTACATGAATAAAATATGGCAACCTAACACATTATAATAGAAACCTGTAAATTAAAATACTGTTCATCTGACACACACACTTATTTATGCATTCAAAATGGCCTTTATCTCCCGACACAAAACTTTAATATCAAAATTTCCTCCCCCTAAATAACATGCCTTTGAAAACCAATTTTCCACAAGAAATTAGATTCTGCTAATTCATATGTAATAAGAAGTGTGATCAATCTGCTTCCTATTGGATACAGCTACATAAACCGATATCATAATTTTACTAATTCTATCATCCTTTCTCTGATCAAAATCACAAAGGGACCATGAACATTTTTATTTTGCACCAAAAATGGGTATAACATCATGGGTAAACTTTTCTGAATTACACGTTATTACCCATATTTCAATCCATTTGGTGAGTAATTTTATTTCAACCGTTTTATTTACTGTTTTCAGTTCTTTGTGGAATTGAGATACAGTGCCCTTGACTGCACAGACATACATTTTGGCCTTGACAATACTTGATGATGCCATATGGTTTGTTAAAACACACACGCATGCATGCACGCACACACACACTAAAATATTATATATATATATATATATATATATATATATATATATAAAATAATGTATATACACATACATATTTCATATATATATATATATATATTATATATATATTCACACACACACACATACTTATATAATATATTATATATATATGTAATATTTC